ACTCGATCCCAGGACGCTGGGATCGAGTCCCACATCGGGCTCCTTGCTCATCAGGGAACCTGCTTCTCCCTCTGCCTCTGCCTGCCATTCTGTCTGCCTGTGCTCGCTCTCTCTCCCTCTCTCTCTCTGACAAATAAATAAATAAAATCTTTAAAAAAATAAATAAATAAAAATAAAGAGACAAACATTTTTTTAAGTGAGCAAAGGACTTGTGTAGACTTTTTCAAAAAAGCCTACAAAATGGATAACAATCATATGAAAACATGCTTAACATCATTAGTCATTGGGGAAGTGCAAATCAAGGCCACAATCATGTGTACTACTCCATACCCACTAGGTTGGCTAAAATTTTTTTAAAGAGGAAAAAAGTGTTGACAAGGATATAGATTAATTGGAACTACCTACATAGCTAGTGGAAATGTAAAATGATGCAGCTGATACAGAAAATGGTTTGACAGTTTCTCAAAAAGCTAAATGATTATCATATAACCAAGCACTCCACTTTTAGGTATACACAAAACTTGTACATGAATGTTCAAAGAAGCATTATTGACAATAGCCAAAAAGTAAAAACTAATGGTTTTTTTTGTTGTTTTTATTGAGATGATCATATGGTTTTTCTTCTTTAATTGTCAGTATCATGAAACACAAAATGGTGATTGATTTTTTTAATGTTTAACTACTTTTGCATTGCTAGGATGAACTGCAACTTAGTCATGATGTATTATCCTATTTTTTTTTTTTTGATTTGCTAATATTTTTTGGACCACTCTTATACTTGTGCTTGAGGAATAAGGTTTTATAATTTTCTTTTTCGGTATTGGTGTCAGGATGAAGCTGACCTCATAAAATGTTGTAATTATTCTATCCTTTTTATTCTAGATGAATTATTATAAAATTTCCATTATGTTATTGCCAAATAATGATACAACTCTAGATAGGTTTAAGGATTTGCTTTTTATATTTTGAAACTTAACTTTAGTTTCACTATGATATTCACTTCAAAATTATTTTAATGTAATCAAAATTAAGTCATGTATTTTTTATTGAGTGAACAATTTTATATAAAAATATATTGCTCATTCAAGCCAGTTTTCATTGTTCTCTCTATTACACATAAAATCTTCTTACAGTAAAATCTTTTGTTCTTTTTTAAATTTAGACTTTAGTGCATTGTTTAAAAAGTAAACCATGGCTTAGGAATGATTTAACATACATTAGTTCTCACTGGAATGGGGTTTTGAATCACATTTCAGCAATAACTCAAGTTTTTATACATTTAGGAAGACTATGGTTTTTTAGATTTACTGTAATTAATGCTAATATATTTTTTATCTAGTCATGCAGATGGATCAATAAAATTTTGGGATGCTTCTGCAAGTAAGTTTTAAGTCTCTTGTTCTATAACAGAAAACACTTGATTAATATTTACTCAGTCAGAGCCATTCACCACTTTTCAGTTTGGACAATCAATATTTCAGATACATTTTTAGCATGCATATATGGCTATGTTATAGAAATCCATTTCTTATGTTAGATCAGTTTAAAGTACGATCTCTAGTATACTTTTCCTTTATCATATAAACAGGACTGAATTCACTGTCAGTAACCATTATAGTTACAAAAGGGAAGGTATGTTGAAAAAGTACCAAACTTTGTCATATTAACTCTGTTAAAGGAATTTCCTTTACCTCCAGCTCTTGTCCTGGAGAAGTTCTTTTCTTTCACCAGTCCACTTTTCAACTTGTCTACCAACCCTCGTATGAATCAAAAGAAATGATTTGATAAATGTAAAATGTCTTTTAAGATGTTTGAAAATTGTATAATTTAAGGAATAAAGTAGTCTTCTCAGTGTTGAAGGGCATGCAAAGATATTTTAGACTTGATTATTTCCATATACACCCTTTATAAAACTTATATTTACTAAATCAGATAAAGAAATGCACATATATGAATAGTAGGCAAACAGTTTGATAAGAAATCTTAATGTAACATAACTTAAACTCTGTTTATTACCAGAAATTTGAGATTTGTTTGAACCAGGTAGATACAGAAAGGGTGTTTTGATGGGGTAGTATTTAATGTGAGTTTTGGAAGATAGTTAAGATTTTAGTAGTCAGGAATAGGAGGAGAAGAATAAGTGAGCAATGACTCAGTTTCTGAGGATGAGTAACCAGCAAGTTATAGATAAATCCTTTGGAAATGAGAAATACAAGAGAGTGCTAAATGTTTGCATTTTGTAATTACACCACAAAATCCAAGTGTCTAGGTGGTAGGAAAAATGGTCAAGAATGGACAGTAATATAGAAGCAGCATAAAAGTAATAGTTGAAGTTGTAGAGGTAAACAGCTTCTGAGGAAGACCTTGATAAACACAAAAGCAAATGGAAGAAGGTTGAATATTGGTGATACTCTTGGCCTGCAGGCTAGACTCTTTCAACAGTGGAGCAAACCAACAGCAAGGGAAAATGATTAAAATATGTAAAACCATGAATTTTGAGGCACCTTTTTGAACTCACAATGACTGAGCAATGACTTGGGGAGAAATTCCAAAGGACAAAAGATTTTCTCTGGATGAGTTTTTTCATGTAAATCTGACTTTGTTCCAAGAACATAATTTTATAGTGATATTATTGTTCCTTTCCCAACACCTCAAAGTCACTCCTTAGCTTCTAAAATGTGAGAAGACACTTTAACATCCTAATAATTAGAGTATATGACACCCTTAAGCATGCATAATATTTTAAGAAGTTATTTTTTAAATATTTTATCATATTCAGACCATATATTATAAAGGTTTGCAGCATGTTTAATATTTTTACTGTAACCAATTATAAGGACGTATTTCCAATTTAGTGGATGTCATTGAAGAAAAATCACTTATTCTGACAATTTTGAGGAATACTGTCCAGTACAGAAGTAAGGTTATACTAAATTTGAATAGGTTTGTTTCTAAAATAAATTTGAGGTTGTTACTATGTGTATTTGTTTTCTTTGCTGAGTAATAAATTACTACAATTGAGCAGCTTAAAACAGTACTTACATATTATCTCACAGTTTCTGTGTGTCAAAAATCTGGGTACAGTTTAGCTGGGTTCTTCGCTTAGGGTTTCCTGAGATTTCAGTAAAGGTGTTGGCTAGGGCTGCAGTTTCATCTAAGACTTAGTGTCCTCATTCAGTCTCAAGTAGCTGAGATTTTCTTATAGCGTTTTAACTCATGGCAACTTGTTTCCTCAAGGCTGGCAAGGGAGTGTCACTCTAACCTCAGGGAGGGCATCAGTCTCTCTTTTAATTATGATTATGTCAGCCAAATTAAGGATAACCTCTGTTGATTAACTCAAAGTCAACTAATTAGGAGCCTTAATTATGTCAGCAATATCCTTTTACCATTGTTATTGTCGCATAAAGTAATCATGGGAGTGATACCCCATCTGACCTAGAGGGCAGGCTATAGCACCTAGTATAATTAATGCCCTAACCATTTGCAAGATGTTTCAGTTTGACATAATTTTAGACTTAGAAAATAATTGCAAAAAAATACCATGAAGTGTTCCATAGCTTTTAGCCAGGTTCCCCAAATGTCAGTGTATACTACATTTGTTCTTCCACCTTCCTCCCTCTCCCTCTTCTCCATATATTCACCTATATGTATATAGCTTTTGTAACCATTTGTGAGTCGAAGTGATGATCTTCTTACACTACATGGCCCTAAAATATTTCACTGTATATTTCCTACAAACAAGACTTTTTTTTTTCATAGTCAAATTATAGTTATCAAAATCAGGAGAGTAATAGATGTAATACTATTAACTAACCTCCAGGCCTTTCTCAGTTTTCACCAATTGTCCCAATAATATCTTCTATAATAAAAGAAAATTGAGGATTATTTACTGCATTTATCATCTTTTGAGTTTTCCTCAACTTGAAATTGTTTATGAATCTTTATTTCATGAAATTGATATTTCTGAGGACTTGGGCCAATTATTTTTGTAGAATCTTCAATTTCACTTTGACTGATGTTTCTCATAATTAGCTTCAGATTATGCATTTTTGACAGCAATTCCCAGATTTTTAGAGATTCTCTTAAGGATCTTTTGTAGAATCAGAACTTTTTTTATAAGAGAGTTATCATCAGGGTCTATAATGTAAAAAAAAAAAATCCCCCCAAATCAATATTCCTGAAAACAATTCATTACTGCAGAGTTTTAAAAAACTATAACTAATCCTTTTCTAAGGATTTTTAATTAGATTTAATTAACTTTTAATTAGATTTAACTTGGAAAAGATTCTTTCTAAAATAATTATAGATTATTGGACTCTCAATATTGCTAGTTAGTAAATTACAAATATTTCTCATCTTAATGGTTATCTAGAAATTTGTTGAGAAGAGTAAACTCTCTAAGAATAGCTTCACTTTTTCATGTAGCAAACGGAGAAATTGTAGAGAGAATTAGTTCAGTATTTCCATTATAAACTTTCTGAGCCTCAGTGTTTTTGTCAATAAATGAGGATAAAAATACTCACTTCGTGAGATTTTTCTGAGGATCACATGAGACAATGCATACAAAGGACCTAGAAATTCTTTGGTATATAGTATATGTGCAATAAATATTTATTTTTCTCTAGAATCTCCATCCAGATAAATTGGAATGATAAAATGTAATGATGAATGCTTACTAAAAATTAAAATATAATTTATTTTGTCTACTTGGATTTTATTTTAGCTCTTTAACAAATATATTGAAAAATACTTCAACAATATCTAAGAATTAAGTTCAAATTAGAAGATAACTATGCTTCAATATCTTATAGTAACTCTGCAGATGCTGTACAAGCTAAAAACATCAAAAGTGTTTGAAAAACAGAAGGTAGGAGAAGGAAAACCAACATGTGAAATTGTAGAGGAAGATCCATATGCCATTCAGATGATTTACTGGTGTCCAGAGAGCAGAGTATTCTGTGTATCAGGAGTCTCTGCATATGTCATAATTTATAAATTCAGCAGACATGAAATAACAACAGAAATAGTGGTAAGTTATTTAAAATTTAATGTTTACAGCTAGAGTTACTAAAAGAAAGAACTTACAGATTTTGTCTAGTGTTTGGTATGGTTTTTAAGCCTTCAGGACTATTGTATTTGGCCAGTAATCCAATTTATAGGATTTTGAATTATTCTTGTTACCTAGTATAACATATTTAAAAATATTTTGGCTTATAATGAAAAAAACATTTCTCTACCAAAATGCTCTATTATTAAATAGAATGGATTATGTGTATATAGAATTTATACAGTCATTTATTGCTTTATGTATAAATGTCAAATTAATGAAGGCTTCGTTGTGTACCTTTATTAAAGTTTTTTGTCTTATCAATTGCCACAAGTGATCATTTCTCAACTACAATAAGATTATTTTTAATAATTTTCTAGATAGCAACATTTTTATAGGATAGAAATAATTATGGGCTAATTTATCTAAATTTTGAACTAATCAAGCAATTTAATTATTCATTTATTCTCTCATAGGATAAATTAAATCTAAATTAAGGCATCTATAGGTAATTGGTCTTCCCTACTGAGTCCATTTTACCATTTTATCAGAAAATAAAAATTATCTACTAAAGGCCTGTCTGTAACTGTTTTTACCTCAACAGTAAATTTAAGGACTGCCCTGTTAAAGTATTTGAGTTAAAATCCCACCCAGCCTTTGGAGTCAGATAAGCATATATTTTAATTCTGGCTTTGCCAGTGAATAGCTACATGACTCTGAGCAAGTCATGAGGTTTCAGTAGTCAGTAGTAGAGTCTGGGTAAGAACAAGTTTCATACACTTATATAATTTTCTGTATAAATAAAATGGAAAAATACAAAGTAATAATAAACTACAAATAATGGCCAATTTCATAGGGTTCTTATGAGGATTCTATGAAATCATTAATATAGTGTTTTGGTATAGATAGCACTCAATAACTGGCAATTGTTACAGTCACTAGAGATTTTTTTTTAAGTTTTTAAGATAATTATGACAGCCATTTTGATATTACTGTATTACCACCCCTTGATGGCATTTGTTTTCAGCCTCAAAAATGCTGATTTTTTTTAATCATATGATTTCACTTATATGTGGAATTTAAGAAACAAAACAGAGGAGCACAGGAGAAGGGAGGGGAATAAAACAAGATGAAATCAGAGAAGGAGACAAACCATAATAGACTCTTAACCATAGGAAACAAACAGGGTTGCTCAAGGAGGGGAGGAGATGGGAAGATAGGGAAAATAGGCAATGGACATTAAGATATGATGATGTAATGAACTCTGGGTGTTAAATAAGACTGATGAATCACTGAACTCTACCTATGAAACTAATACACTGTATGGTAATTAATTGAATTTTTAAAAATGCTGATTTTTACATTGTAAAGTAAATGTTATAAAATTGATTTTAATTAAAGCTCTGAATGCAGTCATGAAGTACTTAATTTGTAAACATTTTTAGGTTAAAAAAGGTTTTGGATCATCTTTTTATTTCAATACATTTATCATATATTTTTAAACTAAGCAATTCTAACCAAGCTAGTGAAATTGAGCTAAGCTAATGAAACAAAAATTAGAATTTATTTTGGAAAACATTTACTAAATTCAAGGTCAAAATAGACTTTTTTTAAACTAAAAGTCTTATACTAATAACAATTTGTGTGTTCTGTATGTATAAACATAATCAGTTTATTTTCTTTCACTGGAATAACCATGACCAATTTCTCATTTCATTATATATGGAGTTGTAATTTATACCTTTAAAGGAGTATTTAGTATTTAAAAACTTTATCTCAACTAATAGGTATTTTTCTTATAAATCTGAATATTAAGAAATATTTTACATTTTTTGTGAATGCCAATGAATGGTCCATGTATTTCACTATTTAAATCAATTTGGGATATCTCAACTTAACTATAAATTAAAACTGAATTTATTAATGTGAAAAAGTAATAATTACCAAAAAGTTATCAGAAACTTTAATGTGATTACTTATTATGACTTAGATGAAATTAAAACTTGACTTTTTTTTAAGTCATTAGAGGTACGACTTCAGTATGATATTGAAGATATTATTACCCCAGAACCAGAAACAAGTCCTCCATTTCCGGATCCCTCATCCCAGCTTCCTTCTTCAAGGAGTCTTTCTGGAAGCAGTAACACTGTGGCTAGTGAAGGAGGAACAAAGGACAGTATCCCATGCCTCAAGTAAGTTTTGCTACCAAATTTTGAAATAATTTTACATATTAATCATATAATACTTTGAAACTGTGCCAAATAAAATTATTCTTCTCTTTTATTAAGTTGTAATCATTTGACCTACAGTCTACCAATGGGTACAGTGGTCTTTCTTTGAATATGCATGAAGACAGCACAATATTTTCATCCTTCATTACAAATTCATGGACTTTCTTTCCAGAAGGATACTAAAACCATAACATTAATAGAATAGGAACATATATGGCAGGGCAGAAACATGGCCACTTGCTTGGTATCACCTAATTGAAAAAGTATGTTTAGGGAATTTCTTATTTTCTTAGAATCAAAAGGAAAACCACATTAACTATCTACTACAAGAATCCCATGTTAGAAAAAAAGAAGGATTTCTCTCATGATTGCTAGGATATTGCAAAAATAATGTTTTTTCTTCTTTTTAACTAATGCTTTGAAGGTGAGATTTAAACAAAAGGTAGATGAGGGAGTTAGCTGAAATGTGTCTGGTAGAAGAACATTCCAAGCAGAAGGAACAGCTAGAGCAAATGCTTTAAAGAGCCTCACATGTAACGTTCCATGCTCATGAACTGGAAGAACAAATATTGTTAAAATGTCTACGCTTCCCAGAGTAATCTATATTCAGTGCAATCCCTATCAAAATATCATTAACATTTTCCACAGAGCTGCAAAAAATAATTCTAAAATTTATATTCAACTAGAAAACAACCCAAATAGCCAAAGGATTATTGAAAAGGAAAACCAAAGCTGTATGGCATCACTATTCCAGACTTCAAGCTCTATTACAAAGCTGTCATCATCAAGACAGTATGGTACTGACACAAAAACAGACACATAAATCAAAGGAACAGAATAGGGAGCCCAGAAATGGACCCTCAATGTGATGGTCAACTATCTTCAACAAAGCAGGAAAGAATATCCAATGGAAAAAAGACAGTCTCTTCAACAAATTGTGTTGGGAAAATTGGACAGCCACATGCAGAAGAATGAAACTAGACCATTCTCTTACACCATTCACAAAAATAGACTCAAAATGGATGAAAGACCTCAATGAATCCATCAAAATCCTAAAGAACACAGGCAGCAACTTCTTTGACCTTGGCCACAGCAATTTCTTGCTAGATGTGTCTCCAAAGGCAAGGGAAACAAAGGTAAAAATGAACTATTGGGACTTCATCAAGATAAAAATCTTTTGCACAGCAAAGGAAACAATTGACAAAACCAAGAGACAACTAACAGAATGGGAGAAGATATTTGCAAATGTTTTTTTCTGATAAAGGGTTAGTACCCAAAATCTTAACTTACCAAACTCAACACCCAAAGAACAAATAATCCAGTCAAGAAATAGGCAGAGACATGAACAGACCTTTCTCCAAAGAAGATATACAAAAGGCCAACAGACACATGCAAAAATGCTCCACATCACTCAGCATCAGGGAAATACAAGTCAAAAATACAATGAGGGGCACCTGGGTGGCTCAGTGGGTTAAGCCTCTGCCTTCGGCTCAGGTCATGATCTCAGGGTCCTGGGATTGAGCCCTGCATCGGGCTCTCTGCTCGGCGGTGAGCCTGCTTCCCCCTCTCTCTGCCTGCCTCTCTGCCTA